AATAAAAGCGTGAATTCTCGGGCCATAGTTGCGTTAACTATTGTGGCCTACGAGGTTGGATATCGTTGCCTTCGTCCATAGGGGGATCCAAGGGGGACAGAGGGCGTACGCCCCCCTCCCCCCCCCCGTTCGTTGGGAGAATGGAGAAAGAACGAAGTTACAGAGGAAAGATGAAGGAAAGACGCTTGCATTTTCAATTATTCGTGACGAAATTGACTCAATCTACATATTATAGATTATTTGATATTCAAATATTAAAGCATAAAAGGGGCTGGGGAGACCGCCCAACCCCTCTTTCCCTCCTTGCGCATCTCCGTTCGAGATGTCTGGATCCGCCTATGCCGACGTCCAACATACGGATTCCGCAAAATCTTAACTTAAATCTCCAAGAAGTTTCCTAAGTCTCTATAGAGATCCGAGGATCTCACGAACACATCAACAAATTTTGTCGTCGACAAGCTAGAACGTTTAAAATTCTAAAAATATCTCACACCCAAAAAAGCAAGATATTCAAAAAAGGAAAGAAGGAAGTACATAAAAAATCTAACATTGGACAAGATAACTTCAAGTAAAAAGAAAGGTGAAATTCTGCGAACGGGTAGCCATATTGAATGTTCACAACAGTAATACATGCGGTCTCCAAAAATACTTGAAATGTTTGTCACATATCAACATTAATGAAACTCGTAAACCATGTATCAAATCAGGCATTTTGTAAAATGCCTCGGCAGGTAGAATCATTTAGCCGAAACTCCCGAATGCCTTTTACTTCGCTACTTCACAAAATGACCAGGCCAATTTTTAAATTCGATTATTTAAATGAGGGTTTCGCAATTTGCCTGGGCATTTCACAAAACGCCTGATTTTGCCATTTGCCTGCGAGGTGTGCATTTTTTTTTATTTAATGCTCCCTCCAGCTTAATGTTTCGCATTTACTTTTGAATAATGAAACATTCCAGCCGGCGGATTGGAATTTTCAATGTTGGTTTCACCCAGGAACTGAATCCTTAGAACAAACTCAGCTCGTCGTCCATATACTAGGAATGTCCCACTCATACAGAAATCCGGTGAAAGGTTTCTTGGAGATAACAAGTTGAGCACTAGAGAGAGAACATGTAAATGTAACAAGAGACGGGACACCACGGCTGCGAGGTAAAAGCGGGACCATGCATTGCATATCAGCAAGTCATGTACTAGTGTAAGTGCACTCTGTTCGATCGACTTCATGGAATGTGAGGTCATGGCTTCGATTCCTTTAGGTGCAGTCGTCTGCAATTTCCTTTGGCCTAGACTAAGTAAAACAAATAAAAACTGATGCCAAACCTGGCTTGAATATGAGATTTAAGATGACCTGATGACAAGTTTTTCTTATAGGTCAAAAATTCCTTTTGCACTCAATGATGAGCTGTGCTCTTTACCTTGCAAGCTCATTCTTGAAATATTGCCGTCAAAAGAGAGATAAAAAATCGTAACAGATCACTTTAATTCGATTGGTTCAATTTTTGTTCTTGTTTTTTTTACTCTAATTTTAGACTGGCTATTGAGTAAGCTTGAGGCACTGAAATTCTACGCTGAATCGATATTGTTATAAATCCAAAAATCACGTTTGAAGCCATAGACCGACCAATGAATAAATTTCTATTATTGTTTGAGAACCGTCTCTCATCAAAATTGTGAAATAATTTGGACTGCATTTCGCAAAATGCATCCTCATTAACACAAGAGATCCACAGTAATTCTAAATTAAGATATTCTATTTCATTTAAAGAACAGCGCATGTATCATTAGTTTCCCAAAGCCAGCGGATGATTTTATAGATATTACTATTACTTCCCTACATAGCAAAATACAGTCCAAATGCAAACGCTTGGATGCGACTATTCGTACTCAATGAATGCAACTATTCGTACTCAATGGATGCCCGTATTGCATATTCAAAAAATTGAAGGCGCGCCTTCTTTTTAGCAATTACAGTAAATGGACAGCTTTTATTTTACATTTTAAATTTGGCAACGCGTGAATAAATTGTCCATATTGGTCTCTCGTTATTGGCAGTGCAAAAGACATCCATGTAAAATGCCCTCGGAGTCTTCCGTCGATGTTGCACCGGTCGCCGCTTTCTCAAAGGCCTCTCACATGAATAATACATAAACAATTTTTCTCAACTCCCTGTACCAAATTGATACTAACGACAACCGAAGCTTGTGCGCAATGAACGAAGGGTCCAAAATCCTGTCCACCCAGGCATCTGTTGCCATGTCTATACGGATCCCATGTAGCAAAGGAAAACCAGCGCAGATAGAATGTTTTCACAATTGTGCGGAATCTCTTTTTTTTCAAAATTACTAAATATATGTTCACTAATATAAAAATTTTAACGATCGTCTCCATTCAAAACTGAATTTTTTTTGCCCCGCCCATACGAGTGTAAACTAACACTAATTAGGTAAAATTTTGTTACAAAAATTTGATATTTCAAAGAGCGAATTGCCATAGTACTCGAGAGAAGCTCTCGCAGTAATTCTACAAATTTTACTTATTACGAGGATAAAAAAAACCAATAAAAAAACAAACGAACGAACTGTATGTAAGGAGGTGGTGAAATATTGCTGAGTCCACTTTATTTTGCGGGGAAAACAAGATCCAAAAGTTCACAAATTTCGATCAGTGCTCACAAGTGTTTGACTCAAATTGAAATTTTTGAACTTTTGGACCATGTTTTTTCCCGCAAAATAGTGCTGGTTCCACACTGTTTTACAACTTTGTTTGACTTAATATATACATACATATGAGTCGCTTTCATAGCGCTCTTTGGCGCTTTACGACGCCTAATCGCCACAAAGCTCGGTCTTCCCACAGGTCAAAACTGACTTGTTTAACTTAATATCAGTGTCTTATTTTTGATCAAACTTGAACCGAAAAAATGAGGTATTCCTGACTATTCCGAATCGTGTAATTTCACGCGGATGTATAGATGCTCTGGCAGCTAAAGTTACGCCGGAAACAGTTGTGGGAAAATTCGCAAACTTCAAACCTATTATTCAAAATGGCGGCACCGACGCTATCGCTCAGATGCAGGCGAAGTGCGTGGTATGAAATGTAGAACCCGTGGCGCCGCCTCAATTTACGGGAACTCATGATTATTCGGTGCTCGGCTTAGACCGGGCTGAAAAGGCGCGCCTTTGAGCGGTATCCAATTGAATCCAATTGAAACCTCAGATATAGCGAGCATTTACCGCATACATATTATTTTTTTCCTTTCCGCTGTGCTTATCCATCGTGCTATGAAGGACAGAAATGAGGTGTGAAATAGGGATTCCGTAAACCGCGGCAGTTGATTGCACTTCAATGGAATTTTCATGAAACTTATACAAACGGGTGTTTCTTGGAGAAAATTTTAAGGAGAAACTAGAGGCTGCATTTTAAGACTTCTCTATTTTGTATGGAAGAAAATATAAGCTTTTAAAGTTTCCTCATCTTGTTCGAAGTTTGACCTCTCCCACCTGACCCGCTTAACTCGTCGCGTCGTTCATCTGACTTAAATGCTTATCTCAATTTCCACGTGGACCCTTTTCTCCGTAAAACAATATACTTTCCAAGGCTCATGAGGAAATAGAGGTACGCTCTTACGTCATGAAGGTGACGTGCTATGCTCATATTAATGAAATTCGATGAAAAGCAACCGTGATTTCAAAAATACCCAAAGCTTACCGGCTCCCTCAGATGTTGTGCTCTGGAAAAAAAAACGCATTGGATATAGAGTCCAGACTCTTAAAAACATCGACGAGAAAAAATACTCTTGAATCAATCAGAATCTAGCTTAAATCAAGAACCAAGCCTCTTAATTTAAGCGGATTTCGTTTTGATTCAAGCAAAAATCCGATTGAATCGAAAGTATTTTTCCTTGTCAATGTTTTCAAGAGTCTGGACTCTAGATCCAATGTGTTTTTTTTTCCAGTGTGGCCAAAGTCTTTCGGAAGTTATTTCATGGTTTCTGCCAAAGGTTCCGGGTCTGACGTCAGAAATGGACGTCAAGTCGGGCAAAATGGAGTTACGACGAAGAAAACATGTACTGAGCTAAGCACCCGCCTATTCAGTGTTATAATAAGATATGGCCTGTAATCTTTGGGGCTTTCATAGGAACGATCTATTTGAATGGGAGCTGTGGTTGGTCTTGATTCCCATCCTCGTGCTCAAGCAAAAATAGGGTAATCAGAGTGAATGACAAGATTTAGTTCTCCTGAGATCTAGGGAATTAATATTGAATATGCATGCACGGAGCATTAAGCTTATTGGAGCTCATCATGGAACATATAAGTATGACGGAATGTGAATAGAGCCGAATGAAACTTTCAAAGACGCTCAATTTGTTTCTATGCTGCTTTTGTTCGGAGTTAAAGCTTTTACTACCCGTATAATTATAGGACTACACTTGACGGCGACTTTTCAATATGCACATATACCGTATAGTGCCTAATGTAATTTTAAAAAAAAAAATCCTGTCTCCGATTTTGGTTCTCAGTAGATATTCTTAGAGATGGATGACAAGAATAGAGCTGAGAAATATTTCGGGTCAATGCCTAAATTTTCATTAGTAAAAATCCGTCATCCCCCTCCGCTCTTTTTTTAGATAAAAATCGTGATTTTTTGCAGTTTCACTTCTGGATAGTTTTAACATACTTTGTGTGTTCGGAATATTGGCTCTCAAGAGAATTTAAAAGACACAATACCAAATTAGATCTGTGCAAAATTTGGGCAGGATTGGATTATTTTTAGGGGGTGAGCACTTCCTTACACGGAAAGAAACGACCGTCGAATCATACTTTTTTGCTCGAAACGGACTTATATCCTTGAGAAAACACAAAATATTGAAAACGTATTTTTTTTTACAGCGGCGTTACGTCATCCTCCTGCAAAGTTTCATGATACAAAATAAAAATCCCTGCAACGAATTGATTAGGTGGCCTTATGATAACGGGGTGGATGTTTCTTGATTTCAGGTCTGAAGCAGATTGCTGAGTCTAGTCATAAGAACGTGGGTCGCGTTATTAGGAAAACAAAGTTGGCTGAAGGTCTCGAACTCACCCAGATCACCGTCCCGATTGGAGTACTCCTCGTCATCTTCGAATCCAGACCTGACTGCCTACCTCAGGTAACGACACCAAATAACCGACGGCATCATATTATTCAGGGATAGAGTCCCTTTATACCCAGAGTTAAGACAACTCGATTATCAGCTGACTGGCAGCCGGCCTTGGCTGGCCATGGAGGCCGAAACGAGTGCACCCAAACGAACGATATTGAGGGATAAGGATCAGGAATCCTGCGATGTCTGTCACACAAAAACAACAACATCAACAAATTGATCAATTAAAACGAAAATTAGATTGGTTTGTTAATAATTTCTTAATCTATTTTCATTTTAGACCGATGGAAATAACAATTTACTCTTGATAAACCACAATTAGGTAATATTTTCATTATTCTTGTTCACATTCTAGGTACCGCCATCTTGGTGCACTCGTTTCCGCCTCCATGAGCGAGAACCAATCAGAATTGGATTTTTTTTTAGGCTACTTTCAGCCCAACCAAAAGTGAGTTGTCTTAACTCTGGGTATAAAGGGACTCTATTCAGGGACATCCTTTCTTGCAGCTGAACGATTTTCCAAATGACGGTGAATCGATGGACCCAATATTTTGTGTCAGAACGACATACGATATACCATATCAATGCTCTATCGAAAACAATTTTTCCTCATGTATCTTCTATATGAATAAAACTGTAAGGGTCGAAACCTCGTGATCTTTAATTCTGAGGAACCGCCGGACAGCTTTCGTCGATTTTTGTTGCAAACGAAAGCTGTTAATGTTCAGATGATACAAAAAATTTGAGACTTTCAGTATCCGCCCTTGAAAATTTTCCTGAAGCTTCTCATACTTTTATGCCCTAATCTTTCCCATGAGAGTGACCTCTGTGTGTATAAGCCACTCTATGCAAGCTCCTCGCTGATTGGTTTATCTCTCCTCTCCTCTCTGGGAAGGGCTCAAGCACTGAATAGAACGTCGTCGGTATACGTCGATGAATTGCTGCGGCAACATGGAATGTTCACAAATCCCGTTCCCCATGGGGATTCGTCATCCCTCGATCCCTCCTACGCCCTCATCTTGTAGTTTCAACTGAGATGTCGCCAAAAATGCTTGATTTATGGAGACTCCGGAGGTAAATTATTGATTACCCACGAGGGGTTGAGAAATTTAAGGAATTTTTGATGGCAAAACGCGTCCGGAAAATATTTATATTTATGCACTCCCAAGTTATTTCATCCTCTTTAATTTTGGATTCACTGTAAATTGTTTTTCTCCGAAATTGACAGAGCAGCATAACTCGATGTCACGTTGGTTTTACCCCGGTTTGTGATAAATTGCGCTCCGTTTTTGACCCAGTTGCAGTCCCTCACGCGGTCCCTCCAAATCGTGTATAAATTGTCTACTTGTTCATACGAAACAAGAAAACTTAGGTTCTTGAAGAATATGGAGCTGTTTATAGGAAATGAGGTTTGGTTACAAGTACAAAACGAGAATCGCTTTTGAAACAGACTGTTCAAACAAGTGTTTTTAATGTTCCATCAATTATTACAATCATCATTTATACAATTCAATGTTACAATCATCAATATCAATTATACAATGATTTTGTTACTGATACAATAGCACAAATAAATGTTTGTTAATGCAGTTTCGCCGACGATATTCGTTTTAATACCGCTTTGCTGAGGAAAAACGCCGTATTAACTTCAGACGTTGCCAAATTTCCTTTCATAAAGCGCGAATTTCCTGGGAAATTTAATAATATTCTCCTCCCAATTTGTCAGATAAATTAGTTCACAATTTCACCTAAAATTCCTGAAAATTTCAAGGAAAACTATTCATAACTTCCTTAAAAAATGAGCATTTTATCGAAGAAAATTTGGCAGCTCCCGAATGTTCATACGGCGTTCTTCCTTAGCACGGCAGAATAGTGATGATAGCTTGTTCAACGGTGACATTATTGGGACTGTTTTAAGGCGAAAGCCGAAAGCAACTAGATGCAAAAAAATGGATTATAATTTAAGATTTGTGAAATATTTTTATATCAAGTTCCGTTGCACAATTTTCATTTGTTTTTCGACAGGTTGCGGCTCTGGCTTTAAGTTCTGCAAACGGTCTGTTGCTGAAAGGTGGAAAAGAGGCAGCTCACAGTAACAGAGCTTTAATGGATGTCGTTAAGGAAGCCATCTGCTCCGTAGGGGCTGACAATGCTATTTCTTTGGTAAGTTCCAAAATGGATTTAATAAATTGCATCGCAAAATTTCAAAAACTGATAAATCACTAAAAAAGGTTCAACATGGAAATTGAATCATGAAAGATGTCTTAGAATGGGAGAAAAAATAAGACAAATTCCACATCAACGAGCAGTATCTATACACTGCAACCCTTATAAATATACTTTAAATGGGATACTTATTTAAACTTTAATAAAATTAAGCCTGGATCTTGAAATTTTGACAGCGTCCTTACGTTGACTGGTGATTTCACAGTCCTTAGAGAAAAGCGCAAACTCCGGCTTTTTCTCAATAAAATGTTTGGATTAAAGTAGACTTATTCCATACAAAATAGAAAATTCGTTTAAATTTCAAGTTTCACTTATTGATTATTTACCCTTACGAGACAGATACTCAATTTATCTTTATCTTTCTCTTCAAGATCTCAACGAGGGAAGAAATTGCCGACTTATTATCGATGGAGAAACACATTGACCTCATCATTCCTAGAGGATCCAGTGAGCTAGTGCGCAGCATTCAAGAAAAGAGTCAACATATCCCAGTTTTAGGCCACGCCGAGGGTATCTGCCATGTCTACGTCGATAACGAAGCTGATTTCGCAAAAGCCATCAAAATAGGTGAGCCGCAACTCTTCCAATTTATAGGGTTCACTTTTCCCTCCATCTGAATTTTGATATCATACCCTTTTTAGTAAAATCAAGTTGCTTAACCTCCTAATATGCTCAAAATGGATGCTCAGTACTCGAAAACATTTGATATGAATGAATTACGCTCAACTCAAGATACAAACTTTCAATAATTGCGAATTAAATTAAAAGCGGCCCACTGCACCTAGTTTTATTAAGATATCTAAAATGAGAAAAAAATTTTTTTACGACTGGTTCGCTGTAAGTTATTCTACCGTGAAAAGAAAAAAAAAGAAAGAAGAAGCTCCTCTAAAGAAAAGCGCCGGATGAACATTCGAGAGTTACCTAATTTCCTTCAATAAAACGTTTAATTCTGAGGAAAATTATGCATAATTTTCCTAGAAATTTTCAGGAACTCTAGGTGAAATTGCGAACAACATTATCTGAAAAATTCGAAGAACAATATTCGTCAGTTTACCAGGAAATTCGTGTCTTATCAGTCGAAATTTGGCAACGCCTGAAGGTTCATACGGCGTTTTTCTTTAACGCTCCAGCATTAATATGGCAGCGTAGGAACAATCTCAAAGTTAAATAACGAGTGTAAGATGACTATCTCATTCTGGTTTGACATATCGGAAAATGCAATGAGAAGGATATTTTGCAGAAGAGAAAAAGTCTACCATCTGCAACTTTCGGGGACGGTTTAGGAGCTGAACTTATTGACAAAGGACATTGAAAACTGTCGTCAATTACGGTACCTCGAGCAGCCTCAAATCAATCTCAAACTTTTTCCATTATAAATTGCGCGGCTACGAAAGAGCGGCTCTCAGCATATTAATGAGCGAGCATTAGCGCGCCGTGTTAGCAAAGAAAATAATTGAGCCGAGCCACGGGAGAACGCCGTGTGAGCCTTGCCGCGTTGCCAAATTTTCTTTTACAAATCTCGAATTTATGGGAAAATTATAAGTATTTTCCTCCCGATTTTCCAGGGAATTTTGTTCATTATTTGATCTAAAGTGTCTGAAAGTTTCAAGGCAAAATATTCACAACTTTTTTCAGGAATAAATATTTTCCGTGAGGAAATTTGGCAACATTCGAATGCTCATACGGTGTTTTTCCTTAAGTTGGCAGAATTGAGCCGAGCCTTTTCGTAACTGCAACTTTTGGAGCGCTGCAGTCTACAGAAACAGCGCTGTCAAGTTTATCAATGGAATGACACTTTTTTTCCACGAAATGGAAAACCCTGTGGTCCAGTATAGCTCAATAGTATCATATTTATAAATTTATTTTTTCCTGTCCCTCTCATAATTGGATCGCATTTTGCAAAAAGGAGCCAGCGCGATTACAGTGTTTTCAAAATCGTGCAACTTCTTCTTTTCTTTTAAAACTACTCAATACATATACAGTATTAAAATTTACACAAGTATTTCCCTTTACAATCATCAATTTTTTGGTGGGAAGCAAAGACTATTTACTATTCTTAGGAGATTTTTTAGATAACTATGAAGAAGCATCAATTTTACAACACTGTACTCGCGCTGGTTCCTTTTTGCTAAATGCGATCCAATTATTTTATAGATAATCCCATGGAACCCTTTTCCCATTAAACTGATCAGATAAGAAAATTAGACACGAAAAAGAAAACTAAAAATATGACCTGAATATTAAAGAGGATAGAATAGGGCTGAAATTACACTATTCTGCGGGGAATAAAGGACACAATCAAAATTAGAGTCACAGTGAACTTTATGGAACCCAATGGGAACGTCGCATGAGAGGATCGCGGCAGGGCGTTAACGAAGAGATGTTGCGTTGTCAGATGCCAGATTGCCTCTTCCGAAGATTGACACATGTTGCGTTTGGGTGTCGCAGAGCGCCAGAGTGCATTGTAGGGGCGATATTTATGCATGCACAATGAACTCTAATGTGTTTTATTGAAAGACTAATTGTTTAGCTCAGACAGATACATTGGGATCCTAAATTGGGGTCACATCGAGAGATCTGTAATGGTTTGGATCTTTTTTTACTTCATCAGTAGTTCACACTCAGTGAGCCCAGCTCACTGTTCCAATAATCCTAAGTGGCATTGAAATGCCGCCATGGGTTCTAATACCATTCTTTTCTTTCCGTCTATTCTCGTTTTCTCCGCAGAAAAACCAAGTAATTTTCTCAAATCCTCTTAGGAAGGAGAATTAGTTGTTTTATAATTGAAACACATATCGACGGTGTAAGTCGGCAATCACATAACTCGGTTTGCAACGTCGCAGAGTTCCCGCCATACTTTATTTTTTAAACAAAAAACTATTCTCAACGGCAATTCTTTAAAACTGCCGTCATTTTTCTTCTCTGTGCGAAGAAAATTTTGCATAAACTCCAAGGAATGTCAATTTGTTCTCCTTAAAAAAAAATAACAAAGAGACGGAGATTTTCAGACACCCCAAACGAGTTATGTGATTGCCGACTTACACCGTCAATATATGAGTTCAGAGGTCAGGTTTATTTAACATTGCTTTACAGTAACACAAAAATGATCAAATTTATAATATTCGATTGCAGGTAATTTTATGATTTCTTCGCGAGTTTTTGACTTTCAGAGTGAAAATTATTAGTTCTCAATTTATGGCACTGATATTTGGGACCTCACTAAATAGCTGAAAAGTAAAAGCAGGGTACTGCGGTATAGGCAACGATTATTTAGAGTGATTTAATCAAATTCACCCTAACCACATCGGAAGTTACCTTATTTTCTTTTAATTTGTATTTGTTAACCAAGAAAACTAAGCGGATATCACGTTTGAAATTCTGGGTCAACTCGTATGATCATTAAAATCGTGAGAAAATCATAAAAACTTTGAAAAATGTTGTGTCATCTAGCTTTACTGCAGAGAGAAAAGAGGAAAAAACATACGAGGTATTAAACGGTAAATGCAGTCGACTGATCTCCATCAAGTCCGTCCGTTCAATGAAGGCGCTTGGATGCGACTATTCGTACTTGATGGATGTCCCGGTTGCATACACAAAAAATTGAAGGCGGGCTGGGGACTCTCAAAGCGCGGCGCGCGGCGCGACAGTTAGTTGCAGGTTCGGCCCGATTGCTCCACATTTGGACGTTTTTGTGTCAAACGGAACTACGTGCATTTTGACGTGAGCCCTGTTATGCATATACTCTCATGGGTCTCATGGCTCATTTCTTAATGAACATAGTTCCATTTGGCAGAAATACGTCCATTTGAGCTTTTCCTCCGTCACGCACAGATTAAGGGCTCGAATTTATAATCCCGCGGTATTGAGTGGACAACATTGCCCCTTCCCTTAATTTGATGATGCGTTCCTCTCGTATTAGACGCATTTCCGGACAAAACGGTTTCAGCGAGATCGAAAAAAAAAAATGAGGGAAAAAAAAGATGGTGAGGTAACTTGTTCTCAAAAAGATATTTAAAAAGTTCCGAAACTTGTAGACTCGGCGGGAGTTGAGTTATGGTGTGCGGAGCGGAGTGTTTATTTGTTTCAGATTTATCGAGGGAAGTCGAGAGGCATGATAGAGAGGGGTGGCAGTCGAAGGGAGCCCTGCTGTGATTAATATTTAAAGAGCTGGCGTGAATTTATTGGATTAACTTGATTAACGGAGGTGTTGAAAATGATTAGCTTTCAAGTTTGATCGGGTTTCAAGGAGGGAATTCAAGCTCCGAGTTTTTTCATACCCATTATGCTTCATTTGATTCCTAATCTCTGCACTTTTAGCTGTTTAACTTCCCAGATTCTTAATCCCGAAGAAAGTCTTCGGTCACGTTTTAGCTCCTTTACTTCATTGAATCCATGCAATTCGTGGAGCCACCTTTTCTTTTCTTTTTTCCCAACCTCAAATGGACTGAGTTAAGCAGAAAGGAACCAAACCACATTTTGGAAAAAATTGAGTTATGAGTGGTTTTGATCTCAACACCTGCTCAACTATCTATCGCCAAAAATTCAAAGTTTTTGTTGGAGCAAATTTTCCAGAAATTGAACGTGAAGTTTATCTTTAACATTGAGTCTTATGCAGGAGCCAAACTTAAAACCTCTTTTTCTCGGTTCGATCCCGATGTGGCTTGGTTCCTTTCTGTTTAACTTCATCCAAATAATGTCTGGTGTTTTTTTTAATTAAATTGGTGGTCCATTACAATAAAAAAATTGATGAGGATCGGTGACCATGTGTATAAAACAACACGTATCAAGAAAGAATACTTAATCTGAGGTTAGCGTGTCCCACTGACTGAAAAGTTCCAACTAAACGTGACACCCTCGTAAGGTTGGACAAAGCCACACGCGAACGCGGTCGGGCTTAGCAACAGTGATGCCAGCCCGAATGAAAAAGCGTTTATTCATTATGAGTTCTGAACGAATATTCTGGGAGTGCCCCTGCGAAATGACAAGCATGCGCTGACACCGTAAGTGATTTCTTAAATTTACCGCAAGCGCAAGTGACAGGCGCATTATTCACGCTCCGAGCCGAGCTGAAGTTGCTGAAGTGCAACCGGTCATCACGTTCCGCGTTCGTGCGTGAAGTCATTTTTAGCGCTGACGTCTTCTTTCTGGTCGATGCTTAAATCCCTAGCTACGTGGGGAGAGAAACGCAGACAACCTTACACCGCCTGTTTTGTCTCGATTTTGTATCAAAACAATTTTGTAGGATCTTTGTGCTCGTTGTTGCAAGTTCGTATTGCATTCTGGTCTTCCTTACTAGATCTGAGGGTCGTAATCATATTCGCTCTTCAAAACAGGGTGTTCCGTCATTTTCATAAACCAACAGCGGATCTAGATACTTCGAAGTACGATAGATGGATACAAATATTCGAAGGGCTTGAGCGCCATGTTCCCGTTGGAATTACGACTGCGGACAATTTTTCCCGTAATCTACATGCGATTTGGCCACCTTTTTTCCCTATTCGGATTGTATAGCGCTCAAGTCGGGAATTTCGATCACCCCTACAGTATAAGCGTCCTTTCCTCTTCTTTCCGCCATGCCTTCCTTATTTCTTTCTTTCCTTTTCCTTTTTCCTTTTTTTCGAAGAGACATAGGGGTGTACACCCCCAACGCACCCCCCCCCCCCCTCCCAAACTTCAAGGGAATCGTCCTGAGATGGAACAAGAACCCTATTAGGCATGGACGTGAGACTTCTGAATCACCCTGTGTGTGTTGCGACTTTCGATAGTTTAAATGAGGCGCCATTATAAAATGCATTGGAATGTGCGATGGTCAAGACTGGTGCACCGTGGAGAAAAGAGAAGAGGAGGAGGTGGCTCCTGCTTTTACACTTATTTGCCGTTGAGGAATTTTAATTACCAACAAGGAGAAGGAGGGTAGCAGAGCGCGAACGCTTTCAAATACGTAATTGACAAGCAAGCAGAAAAATAGAAGGCTCCTCTGCCAGTCAGAACTCACTGCGGGCGAAAAAATTTTAAGCACACATTTTACAAATAAAACCCTTTAAAGTACATCACTGACGGCAGACAGCGGGAAACTTGTCCGCATTTCCCTTTGTCATGGCCTTTTCGCATTTAGTCATGCACAACCACATAGACGCCTTTGAATCCTTTGATGATGTCGAACTGCCACTCAAAATATCCAAAAATTCAGACTTATCAATTGGAAATTTAGAATTTTGAAAGCAGGAAGACAACGTGTGAGCGCCTCCTGCTCAGACTTTTTAGCTCATCTTTGGTGCCGTGAGCTGGAAGATTAATTTTTACTATCAACCATGAGTCAGGCTTTGGACCGCGAGAAGAAGATTTTGGACATTTTTTATTGTCAGTAACATAAATGTGCAGGAAGTGCCGGTGCATAGTGTGGTAAGTTTCATTTAATCCCACCGCGAAATGGGATGAGAGGGAAACGAGGGTGGATTTTTGTCTGGTCGTGCTGTCAGACGATAACTCGTACGTGAAAAGCATGAGGTATAAACTAAATGCAGATATTTTGTCCGGAAATTCTCTTCTATATTGACGCCGAATATTTTACACATTGGAGATCCATTCTCTCTAAAGTATTGGTGCAAAGGAAAATGACAAATTACTATAAGAGCCTGATGGGTGCTTCCAATTTAAGGCGCTCATAGAAAAAAAATTTAGCCGTTCGTAGAAAAATATTGGCTTACATATCGATGGCAAAAACAGTCACCACGGACACAACAAGAAAAGGTAAGAAATTCATTTAAGAAAGGGCAAAATCTAGCTGCTCAGACGATGTATTCATTATGATTCTGTCTTTGATATCGGGTTTGAGAGGCTGGTCCACCAGATGAAAGCACGATACTTTTTACAAGCTGGTGCGCAATGCATAATACCCATTATAATTTGTTGCAGTTCGGGACGCCAAATGTGACTACCCAGCGGCGTGTAACGCTATGGAGACGTTACTTATTCACGAGGATCTCCTCAAGAGCCAATTCTTTATCGACGTCTGCAATGCGCTTAAAAACGAAGGGGTAAGTTACCAATCGCTATCTTTGTCTCAATTATTCGCCTTGCTGCTGTTACCAGAAAATACGGTTATACACAGTTTAGCGGATAAGTTTGGGTGGTGGAAATCCGTTTCAATCCGAGTGATTGGACGATCTGTCTTTGTGATGGAAGTAATGTAAACGGGAGTTCTGCGAGCACAGGCGGATCCAAAGAGGCGTTGTGGCGTACGCCCACTCCCCGTTCGTCCGAAAAAAAGGAGTAAGAGAAAGGAAAGAAAGAAATAAGGAAGAAACGGAGGAGAGAAGAAGAAAGGACACTTATATTTCGTATTCATTCATGAAGAAATTTGCTGAAACTACATATCGACGGTGAAACTACCAAACCACGTATCTCGTTTGCGATGTTTAAAAATCTACGCTCACATTTTATTTTTTTGAAGTCGACCAAATCAATATCATTCCTTGAAATTTTCACAGAATTTTCTCCGCACGAAGAGGAAAAATCACAGAAATTTTCAAGACTGGACGTTAAGTAGTTTTTCATTTAAAAAATAAAGTATGACAAGAAGTCTGCGACGTCGCAAACCAAGATACGTGGTTTGGTAGTTTCACCGTCGATATGAGATGTTTTAAAATTTCGAAAATTTTCTGGGGAAGCCCTTCAGCCCCCCTTTGAGCCTCTCCCCCCCCCTGACGTTCTAGGTGTCTATTTGGCGGAAGTTTTCGACTTACCGCCAACTTCCGTTAATATAAAACGAAATTCTCTCCGAGTGATGGTGCACCTACAGAGGTTGGTTTTCTTACTCGGAGCAATGACGAACACTTCCCAAATTCTCGACGCATCTCCCGAGGATCTACTCACCTTAGTTACCTTTTCATTCAAGAAGTAAGAAACTTCTCTGTTGTTTCCTGTATACTGATTTACCTTATTGTAAAGATATTGTATATAATTCCTCTGGAAGTTTATAAAATAAAAACTTTAAAAAAAAAAAAAAAAAAAAAAAAAAAAAAAAAAAAAAAAAAATCTCCCGAGGCGGATTGAAAAGAGGGATGGATGCAAACGTCGCACAGCGGATCGGGTTAATAGGAGAGGTCGGACAGAATTTGGAAGCTTTAAACGCTTTTAACTCCGTTTATACAAAACTTTGAGGCTCTCGAAATGGTACCATGGGTCTCCTCGTGAAATTCTCTTCTGAAGGCACCCCTTAAAATTTGAGATGTGACGAAATAAACATCAAAATTGGCCGTTTTAGTCAATAATTTCACGTCCGACCTCTCTAATTGACTCGGTCTAGTGTGCGTCGGCCAAAATTCATCAAGCGATTGGGTTTAGTTCTTGACTTCAGCAGAGCGTTTTCCTCCTTTGGTTTACAACCCTGCCAATCTGGTTGAAAAAGTCGACCAAATCCACACGCAAAAATTCGCTTATTATCCTTTTCATGATGCTTGGTTGAGGATCCCTTATGACCTCCCATTCTCACGACATGAGATATGATGGGCGCTCCGCGGCCCGTTACAAGATATATATGTACAATAAAAAAACAGTTTAAAAAGCGGGTAACAAGTCTACAATTTTACGAACGAAACCAAAACGTTTCGCCTGAAAATTCGGCCATCCTTGGCTGAATAAATAAAAAGAAAAGTGGTAAAGATCTAAAATAGTACCTGATTGTACCTTTCAAAACGAGAATGTTGTTATGACAAAAATTTTGATATCAAGGTTTTGATAACATGGTTATCAAAATTTCTGTCGTAACAACATTCTCGCTTTAAAAGGTACAGCCAGGTACTATTTTAGATTTTTTACCATTTTTCTGTTTATTTATCCAACCGAGGATGGCTGAATTTTCAGCCGAAACGTTTTGGTTTTGTTTGTGAAATGTTAGCCTTGTTACCCGCTTTTTAGATTGCTTATTTATTGCATACTCACGACGTTAACTGTAAGATAACTGTTAAGCTGTTTAAGAGACGAATATCAATCCGATGGAAATACCACTATTTTAACTTGTATGTATTGCACAGTATCAAACAGAATTGAAGGCGTTTTTCTTTAACGCGATGCATCACTATATCTATAAATGGATGGCTTAGGTTTTTCTTCTTCGGGTCGTAACCCTGCCGATCTGGTCGAAAAAAATCATCGAATTCACTCGCTGAAATTCGCCTGATATGAGCGAACTCACGGAATGGAATTAAGGTTGCCAAAGGCCAGTGGAGAAGCATGAACAAATCCCCAGAATTTGCCTTTTCAGCCGCGAAAGCTTGATTGCGGCCACGAGGGCTACCCCAAAATTACCAATTTTATGACAATCGATGACACCAACGCAACTCCTCCCCTGTTTATTTCACGAATTGAAGGCGCGATATCACCTACCCTCCTACGCCCTACCCTCACTTTACATGCAAACGATGATATTACGACTCTTATATGGGCTTAATTCTCCCTGTTATGATGTTAATAGACCACGCTTAATTTCCGACTAGAGGCACAAAATAAGCTATATGGTCTCATTTCCTCTACCCTCCTTCCTCCTCAAGCATGATATTATCGTTATTCGAGATGGTAAACTGTCAATTCAGCTTGAAGCATTCGATGTTTTAACGGTGATATTTTGCACGGTAGGTCACCGTCTACTCCGGACCAGCTCTATCCCAGAAGCTGACTTTTGGACCTCCACCCGTGAAATCCCTGAAGACCGAGTACGGAAGTCTCGAGTGTGCCATTGAAGTCGTCAAGGATCTGCAAGAAGCTGTTGACCACATTCACACCTACGGCAGTGGACACACCGATGTCATTGTCACAGAAAACCGTAAGTAAACACTTTGTTGACAGGCTTTACTGCCGTGCGACGCAAAAACGCCATTTTAATTTTTTTTGGAAACAATGTATCATATCAGAAAAACTTGTGTACCTTGGGACAGTTTTTTTTACAGAATTCTTTCGCAAATACTATCAAGAACCTAACCTGAAAACTTGAGGTGCATAGGTAAAACGGTTTTTATTTTACAAAGTGTTAGGTTACAAAAACCACGGGAAAATCTTGATGGATTTACGACGTTCTTGCCTAGCACGGCAGATTGGTGAACTGATGAACATTGAACTGTAGCTCGCATGAACAAAATGAAAAAGGCTCAGGAAGTATGCTACCGTGCTAAGGAAAAACGCCGTATGAAAATTCGATGGTTACCAAATTTCTGCGGATAAAACATGTATTTTTGAGGAAAGTTATGCATATTTTTCTTTGAAATTTCCAGATATTCTAGATCAAATTGCGAACAAAATTGTGTGAAAATTTTGAAGAAAAATATTCACAATTTACCCGATAAATTCGCTGTCTATTGAAGGGAATATGACAACGCCTGAAGGTTCATACGGCGTTCTTCCTTAGCACGGCAGTATGAACAAACTGCAGTTCGAAAGAAAAGCGTCAAATGGATATTCGAGAGCTGCGGAATTTCCCCGGCTAGGACATGTATTTTGGAGTAAAATGGTGCATATTTTTCCTTCATAGATGGTGAAGATTAAATTACAAACCTGTAAAATTTGTAAAAGTGTATTCACAATTTTTCTAATGAATGCATTCTTTACTTAAGTGTATATGGCAACGTCTGAAGGCCCGTACGGCTTTCATTCTTAGCATGGCAGCATTAGACGCCCAGATTTGCAAAAATTGCAGCATCGGATCCGCGCTTGTTCGGATCAACGCGTCATCGATGTGTGATTGATGAGCTTTAAATATAGCTTGGTTTAAAATACGAGGAGAAATTTAAGCAACAGCAAAGATAGTCATGTTTCGAACATTTCTCCCCCTTATAGCCTTTTTCCGAGCATATGCGAGAGGAAAGTCAAACTCTGATTACACCGTCATTTTTTGTTTTATTTATTTATTTGCCCTCTGTTACATTCACGGATTGCTCAGGTTTAAAATGCGCAAAATTTGACCCAAGTTGCATAAAAATAAAGTTTAGAATACTTTATTTCATTATTATTCTCAGGAAAACAATTTTGGAGTGAATCTGTGAAAACAGATAACTTCTGCAATCCAGAAGTGACGTGTGAGCAGTGTCTTTTTTTGCGAGTAAAAGGCTAAAATTGTCACACGATGAGTTTTTGGCGGAAATTTTTATTTTTTATTCTTCGCTCATGCTATTTTTATTCGAGTTGATACCTAGTTGGAGGGATTGCTCGTCCAATCGTCTGCGCGTGAAAATGACCACTGACCTTAAATTCAGTCAATAGACAATCGGAACGTTGACCGGCTAATTTAAAACAAACAAGAAAGTTGTAGAAATTACAATAAAAAGAACTTTCTGAGAGTTCATAGATATATATGCACAAGCGTAATTTTCTAACCCGTCAAATCGATGTATTGCATTATTCCATCATTGACATTATTTTAAGAGTTGTGAAGACGACATTCAATTGTATCTCTATGCCTTGTTGATTTTTCCTTTTTTAATTTTAGGTGAGAAAGCAGCCCTTTTCCAACGTGCTGTTGACAGTGCTTGCGTATTCCACAATTCCAGCTCTCGATTTGCTGATGGATACAGATTTGGACTCGGTAAGTCAATGCTTTTCAGCAGGTCAATTATAAGTAGCAGTATAAAGAGAAAAAAGGGAAAATTCTCGTGAATAATCGATGAAGAGACAGTATTTTCATGAACTCCGTTATATAGATTGCATTTATTATTTTTATATAATATATTATTACCTTTTAATCTCTTTTTTTCTTGATGGAATTTGTATGTTCTTTGCCCCTAATTTTCAGCGATCTAATCGTTTGACCGATATAGACCTTGTCGCAATTTTTACAGTCTATTTTGTAAATGCCGGATTTCTCGTAGTCGTCTGTGTTCAAATTGTCAATATAGAAATTGTCTATAGACTTTATATTTACTGAGCTGAAACTTTTTGTCCGTTCCAGGTGCGGAGGTTGGTATCAGTACAGCCCGAATCCATGCTCGTGGCCCCGTCGGAGTCGAGGGTCTTCTGACGACGAAATGGGTTCTCAACGGAGACGGTCACGTCGCGTCCGAGTTTGCCGAAGGTGGCCCCTGCCAATTCGTCCACCAGTCGCTCCCCATCGATTGAACTGCCGAACCAATCATTCTTACCCTTCGTCAATTCATTTTCCAAACAATTTTTAACGCGCCAAAAACTCTTTTATTATTCATTATAAAAAGTGCCAATTTTTTTAAACCCTCAACCCGATGATTCCCTTGGACGAGATCGCATCCACGTGCCTAATTACTTTCTACAACTTGATATTGACGATCAAAGTCGAAAAATTCGTATCAGCAAGTTTGATGTTGCGAATTTCTGTTTTTTGAACTTTTTTTTTTAAAAAAAACTACTTTATGCACTTTTTCTTGAAATAGTCTACAAAGTTTTTTCACGCATTCAAAATCTTTAAAGAAAATTTTAAGCATGTATTTTATTGAGATCTTTTTTAAGACCAAAGAAACATAATAGACTAACGCGTATTTTTCAACAAAGCCTTTGATTTTATTAATTTTTTAAAACTGTTGAAACATAAGCAAACGCTTTTAAGATCAGTGGACGCATCAAGCATAAATTAATGAAATTAATGATTAACCAATCTTAAAATTAAATTGCATCAGTACCTGATGCTTAAAGTATCAAATATGCTATAAGATATTGTAAATTTGCAGAGTTGGACGATCTTTCAATTTTTCAATTTTTCACACGAAGCTGGGGTATTTTTTTTCGTGGACGTCTTTATGAATACGTTTGGCAACGTGCTTTAACCAATTTCTTATTTTAATTTAATTAATTTTCTGATGCGATATTTCGCAAAAAATTCTTGATGCAGAATAACCTGGAAGTTTATTTGAAATTAATGTATCACCGGTGTTTTGAGAACTTATTCTACTATTATTCTGGATAATCGCTTTTGCCCCATTTTTCCACTCTTGTTTCATCTTCAATATTTCCAACGAACACGACCTAATATGATTAGTGGCGTGGCATGCTTTACAATGCATCGATTGGTCTGTCATTTAAACCTATAGGAAAGGATCGATAAACAGGGTGTTCGCAACGAAGCCTTAGTAAATCGATTCTTTACCATAGCTTCAAGTGAGGAAATATCGAAAATCGATCCTTCACGCCTCGCCACTGATAACGATTGGTATGAAGATGAAAGCTTTGATAGCATTTAAAAATAAATATGTAATTTGATATGCTGAGAGCTAAAAGACTGTATATGAAAAACAAAATAAAGTAGGTAGTTTCGTGCGAAAATGATAAATGAGCTTACAAGTATGATGTTAGGTTTCCTTACTGCCAAATGTGTTAAAATTTAGATATTAGTTTATTTAATATTTATATTAAGAGGGTTTAATGTTCTTCTGTAATCACACAAAAAGTTTGTTAATTTTAAATATGATATGTTCTTTTTTCATCAGGATTAAGCCTAGTAAGTAGAATTACTGTGATTAGATTCGAAATCAAAAAGTGAGTTGGCTTTTTATTTTTGAACATTTCAGTCATGATGATTTTTGAAGTAAATTTTACCTATTCACTGTTGTTTTAACTTAGCATTGTTATTTATTATTCAAAGTTGACCACAAGAATTGTTATTGTACAAAATATTTTTTTATACCTCAAAATAAAAGTTGTTCCTTGTTTAACAAACCTGAATATCTAACATTTCTACTCCCTATATCACTTTCATCTTTGAATTGAACGAATATAGACAGAATAATTCCAAGAGCCTCTCGCTCATTTAAAATCTAAAGACTCTGTGACTTAATACACTCGCTGATTTTTGACGTTACTGTTTCGTTACGCTTAGTTACTGTTCCATTATTACATAAAATGACCGAATATTTTGACGTTGAAAAGTTTCTCCTGGATCTAAGTATTCCTCTACCGACTCTATAAAGGATAGTTTGACTATTTTGAATTCGAATTTTTGTTGCCTCATGCCTAAACAAGATATTAATAGAAAATTCATGAAGAAAAACATGATTGGTAATTTTTTACCGAAGCTCATTTTATTTATGCCCGCTATTTTCACGAAACTATCCAAGTAACACAGATTGCAATAAGTAGCAATTACGTAGTAAAAATATTGCAATTCCGCTGAGTGTTGTGTGTGTTGCCTAGCTCCTACTTGAAGGGGGCTCATTTATTGAAACTGATTGCAACACAAAATACAATTGAAATAAGTTGAAATTTTTTCATTGCAGTGCATATTGCCTATCTTTCTGACACATGGAGCTCACTTTGTTATTTGTTAAAAATCGGCACAAATTGACTGAATACTGCAAAAATATTGCACTTTAATGGTAAAAAATTACCATTTTATTGAAATCAAATTGCAATTTAATTTCAATATTTTGGTTGCACTGTGCTACTTGGGAATTATCTAGCATTTGAACGAAATAAATCTTAAACTTCAATGATTTATACCTTACTGCTAACTCATATACAACTCGGAAGAACCAATCCCGTTCAAACACATGGACAGAGATCACGGGTATCACTGCTTTACTATCCATTGTCATATTATATGTTTTGTACTTAATGATATTTAAAAATCGAATCTTTCGGCGGCTTGGGGCAATATTGTTGGTTCGATATCTCAAAAATCGAAATATAACCTCCAAAACGAACAATTGATGAATGAATGCTAAAACATTAATCCGTGGGACCGTATAAAATTATGAAAGCTAGTCATTTTCCAAAACGTTTGAGACCATATTCAAAAGAATTGATAATATAGTAAGCTCGTGACATAATACTTAGTCTTCGGACGAACGTTGTGTTCGTTTGTTGGAGCACATTTCGACTTTCAAGATATTGACATTAAAGCAAGATGTGACGTCACACTAAATGCGTCTATAAACAACGTTGCAGGGAAGAGATCCCCATTCCGGAACCGAAGTAAAATGATACGTGTTGACAGACGTATTAGATATACAATCAAAGAAATAGTGGAACCGGGGGGAAGCAAAACTATACCGACGCGCTAAGAAAAAACGCCGTATGAACATTGGAGGGTTGCTGAATTTCATTATATAATATGTTTATTTTTGAAGAATGTTATGAATATTTTTCCGCGAAATTTCCAGGGACTTAAGGTAAAATTGCAAACAAAATTATCTGAAAAATTGGAAAGAAATTATTCATAAGTTCACCCACAAATTCGTGTTCAATCAAAGGAAATTCGGCAACGCCTGAGGGTTCATACGACGTTTTTCCTTAGCACGGCAGGATACATCAAATTTAGCTAATGGAATATCGAGACCGATCATAAGTACATATACCTGTTTATGTAGGAGAGAGGTGCGGATGAAGTGAAATGAGACAGATTGGATTTCCAGTTCTAATTAAACTTGAATCTTTGGCCAATATCGCTAAATGGAACGGCTCCACGAGAAAAAATATTTACCGAGCAAAATTTAGCCGGCTCTGTGCTCCGTGTCGTGTTTAGCGATGGATCGATTGATCTGCCATTTAACCCTGTAGGAAACGGTCGAGTTTTCGGTGCTCGCGATAAACACCTTGATAATCGATTATTTGTTACAGCTTTAAATAGGATAATATCGAAATCGATAGTCGATAATTCACTCCTCGTTGCTGATCGCAAAGGTGCGGAAATCAGTGCCATGGCGTGAATTGCGATATATCGATTGTTATACCATCTGAACTTATAGAAAAGGATCGATAAACAGGGTGTTCGCAGCGAACGCCTTAATAATCGATTCTTTACCATAGGTTTAAATGGCATAAAAATCAATACATCGCAATTCACGCCACGCCTCTGGTGGAAATATAAAGGCGGCAAAGCCGGGCGTCCTATTGCCGGGGGCGCCAAGGAGAGAGGAGGAATGAAAAGTACAAAGTGTAAGTATGGAAAAAGCGTTCAGCGCTCATGGGGATTTGAAAGTGAAAATTGTAAGTATGGAAAAAGCGTTCAGCGCTCATGGGGATTTGAAAGTGAAAATTGTAAATGTTTAGGGCTTTGTAGAGGGAAAGATTAAAATTATCGATTAGTCTCGAACGTAAACGCGCACTCTTCACCATCAAAAAAAGCCAATGTTACAAATGCAGATGACTTCAAATAAATCCCTTGCAAAATAAAAAACCTGCAGGTTGTACTCGGAAGATTTAATAATAAGATACTCTCTTTAAGATTTCACTCATCGCATTTGAAAAAAATACATCAGCTTTAGCTGAATAAATTTTAGACAAAATATTTATGCTCTCCATGTCATGATAGTGAGCTGATATCCTCTCAAAATGTGTGATAGCTCTCCAAAAGTTAAGCATTTAGTCTGCAAGCGGCTGAAACGCGTCGAAATATACCTCAAAAAGCAGGGAAAAGGTAAGTTTTCCGAAAAAGACTTATGAAAAACCCCCGAAACTCCCCTTTTGTGCGCTGACGAAAAAGACCCTTGAGAAAGTAAGAGCAGGGTGACTTCGAGAAAATATACATAGACATTCTTTGCAGAAACGACGTATAAGCTGCATTATGCTCCCCAGATTTATTAACTTCGTTTTTAACTTAGGCAAACCAAACAAATACACGCCATGATAATATTCGGTGGATTTGCTATTTACAAATTCAAAAGGGGCATATCGTTTAGTGGCAAATTAAGTATAAAAAGACACAATCTGAAGAATGTCGCAAAGCTTATTCGTCGCACAGTGGATCGAGGCAATGGATAAGGTCGGACGAAATTTGGAAACTTTAACAGCTTATAACTCTGTTGATACAAGACTTTGAGGTTCTAAAAGTGTTTTCATTGGTTTCTTAGTGATATTTTCTTCCAAATGCACCCCTTAAAATTTAAAATGTGATGAAATAAACGTCAATATTTGCAGTTTTAGTCAGAAATCCCATGTCCGACCTCTTTCATTGACTCGATCCACTGCTGTACGTTGTCTCTAGTGGCTCGATTCCTCCAGCTACGCCTACGTAGGACTGACAATGCTGCTATGCTACGGAAAAACGCCGTATGAACCTTCAGGTGTTGCCAAATTTCCTTCGATTAAACACAAATTTCTTAGCAAACTTATGAATATTTTTCTCCCAATTATTCAAATGATTTTGTTTGTAATTTCACATAAAGCTCCTGAAAATTTCAAAGAAAAATATTCTTAAATTTTCTAAAAAAAATTAAGCATTTTATCGAAGGAAATTTGGCATCTACAGAATTCACATACGGCGTTCTTCCTTAGCACGGCAGAATGAGTGGATCACTTCAATGAAATCACCAAATTGGGAAAGAGCCTTATGCAAAAACGGTCAAATCCCTCGTAGCTCCGATTGCTTCCATTTTTTAGTATGCTATTTTACCATAACAAAGGGCCCAGTTTCTGATAATTTCAAGTCCAAAACAAATTTTCCCGCGCTTTGGCGGCGTTGCCAAGTTGCAACCTTAAAAATTCGATAACTTTTGAACCAATTAGCTTGCATCGAATATACATCAAAGGTCGATTGGACTGCATTTTTCGATTGAGAACTACAATTTCTGGCTTAGTTTAGGAACAACGAATGTGCTATTAGTTTCCCTATGCACAAAACGACGGTGAAACTACCAAACCACGTATCTCGGTTTGCGACGTCGCAGACTTCCTGTCATACTTTATTTTTTAAATGAAAAGCTACTTAACGTCCAGTCATGAAAATTTCCGTGATTTTTCCTCTTCGTGCGGAGAAAATTCTGTGAAAATTTCAAGGAATGATATTGATTTGGTCTACTTCAAAAAAATAAAATGTGAGCGGAGATTTTTAAACACCGCAAACGAGATACGTGGTTTGGTAGTTTCACCGTCGAAAAGTTTTTACAAATGAGACAAATATTGTAGTTCCGAATTGCAAAATGAAGTCCAATTGGAATTACCTAATCTTTTTTGCAAGTCACACCTCCCAGTTTAGAGCAAAAACTGTTGCAAGTTGCTTCTTATTTCAGTGCACGCATGGTGATTCCGTGACAATTTTGAGAATGGAGGAAAAACTACGTTGTTTTGAACGCAAAACAAAGTTCTGCGTTGATTAATTTTTCCCCATTATCATCACATTATAGACGCTCTTGTTTCTGGAACATTCTGGAACAGTTCATTTAGAAATTTCCTCTCTTTTTCGCCCCTCCCCAACGGGTTTTGGGTTAGGTATTTGTCTTTTGTTTGGAACTTTTACGGACTTTTACCCCTCCCTTCCCCCCAAAAATACATCCTCACAGCGTTCTTTTCGTTTCTTATTGTTTACACAATTTAATCCTTTTTCATTGTTTTGTAGTCTCGAAGTTTCTCGAAGAACAGAACAGGGATTTTCAAATCCTGTTTACAATAAAGAGGTCCCTCCACCTCAATGGAACAAAAGGGATGCATTTTTGTCCTTTTGTTCCGTAAAATTCGGGTTTCCCGCCACAGGATAACGAGGAAATAGTTTCTAAATTACATCCTAATTGCAGGAGGGGTCAGCAGAGGGGGGTGGGAATTTTGGAGGTGGCTACAGACCAACCGAGCTTACAAAAGGGAGACCCCTTCCCTAAAGTTCAATCAGTGTGAGTTTAGAAAGCGAAGAAGTTCCATGGGTGAACAGGTCAGAGGGTCAGTGGTTCAGTGGCTTAGTTGTTTATTGGTTCTGTGCTTCAGTGCTTCAGTGCTTCAGTGCTTCAGTG